TCCCCCTTTCCCCGGCGCTCCTAGTGTAGAAACTGTCATAATTCCGTAAAATAATAATACCCAGTGGAGGGGGGCTATTAACCCGGGCGTTGCTTCGGGAAAGGCAGGAGCGCTCTGTGGGAGTGCGGGTAGACTGAGGCTGGGCCGTTTTCCCCGTAATGAGCGTTTTCACAGTAATGAGCGATGGAGCAAGAGGGAATGGCTTCAGACTGCTGCAGGGTAGGTTTAGGCTGGACATAAGAAAAAAAAAAAATTCACAGAAGGAGTAGTCAGACATGGGAATAGGCTGCCCAGAGAGGTGGTTGAGTCACCATCCCTGGAGGTGTTTAAAGGTCGTTGAGGTGTGGTGTTGGGTGGGATGGTTTAGGGGTGAGCTTTGCAGAGCTTGGTTTTGCAGTCCCTGTGGTTGGACTCAGTGATCCCAGGGGTCTTTTCCTGAAGCATTCTGTGGTTCTATGCATCTCTTTCACTGCGTTGTGGAGGCCATGGCTGGGCAGGGGGAGAGGGCTGGTCGTGCTCCTGGGCATTTTAAGCAATATTTTGCCTTAAAATCGTGATAAGCTTGTTTACAGATTGAGTCTCTGGCAGCCTGTCTTTAGAACTGAGGGTTTCTGTTTGCAGTGTGTGTGCTGTCAAGAGGGACTTGGAAAAGGCATTCTCAGATTCGAGCAAGAAACATATACATCCTTTTGTTTTGCAGTTTCTTACCTTTTCGGAGCGCTTAAGCAATGTTAATATCGATATTATTCATCGGATCGACAGAACTGGAAGCTATGCTGAGGTGAGAGCGGTAATCACGGTCATTTGCTGAAATCGCGTCACGAGTAGATACACTCCATGAATGATTCCCTGAAGACATTTATTTGGGGGCGGGGGGGAAACTAGAAAGAATTGCCTGCAATTCCTGCAAGAATTGCCTTTCCTGGAGCCTCATTCATGCTTTGTTCCCCTTTACTTTTGACCTGCTTCACAGCATTGCCACAGAGACTCTTTGGTAGTGCCACGCTGATGGCTTCCCTGTGGCTGGTGGGGCCTGTGGGTGTTTCTGAGCGTGGAGGCTGCTGCTGTGGCAGTTGTGCAGTCCTAGGTCCAGACCTGCAAAGACTTGAAAGTGCTGAGCAGATCACAGGGGAGGGTCGTTTATATGTGTCCCATAGAGATCATCGCTGTGATTATAGTGCTTTGCAGGTTATTTGCTGGATTGTTCTTTGAACTTCACACTCAGTACCTGTGAAGATGACAAAAGAAATCGCAGAGAATTTGTGCTGGGTGAGCTTGGCATCTTAAATGATCAAGGCCAGTCAACAGAGGTCTAAAAATGAACTACCTAAACAAATCTTGTCACCAGAATATATTTTAAAATGTATTTTGAACAGAAAAATAAAAGTCTTCAGGGAAATTCCATAACACTTCTGAAATTAAGTCATCAAGATTTCTTGAAATATTTTTAAAAATATTTAAGGCGCTTGATAGTTTTCATTTGAACCTCTCATTTTTGCAGACTACCTTCATTAGGGTTGGTAGCTATTATTTTATCTTTGTTTTGACAGGAAGTTGAAACCTACTTTTTTGAAGGTCTACGGAAATGGAAGGAACTGAACCTCACTCAGCATTTTGGTACGTCATTTTAATTCATGTTGTCCTGCTTTCCTTAAATTGTTAAAATATATTTTTTCTGCATCCGGAGCTTGATGGGAGATTTTCTTTTGACTGGTTTTTGGACTGGGCTCTGGAGAGGTATTATTCTTTAACATCCTACGTGTTTGCTGAAACTGGACTAGTTTTCAGGGTTTCTCTTTTCTGCTTCAAACAGTGCAATTCTACAGTGAAGTGGCCAACAAATGCCAGTCCTTTAACCAGCTGGTCTATTACCAGAATGCCATTGTGCAGAGCTTGAAGACACATTTGCAAGTCGAAGGCAGTCTTGCTTATCAACCGCTATTAGAGTAAGTATATGGTGACAAAATGTAGTCAGAAGCTTTGATATTACTACAAGTAAGCATGAGTTCTGTTGTCAGTGTTATTTTTCTTTATTGTACCTGAAGAAAATACAGCAATGAGGTCCCCAAGGTGGACATATTTCCCTGGTAGAGCTTTATGGTTCTAAGTCTTCAAAACAAACAAAAAACCCCATCTGTGATAAGGCAAACAAATTAGCCTGAACGCTTACTCAGTGTCAGACAAAATATTAACATGCTTTGTTTGATGTTAATCATTTATGTTTTATTGTTTACTGTTATCTGCTTGATTTTTTTAAAAAAGATTCTTGCCACAGCTGCCTTGTAGGTGATATTTAAATGAAAGTGAGAAGCAATGGTGATGCTGGCTTTCTTTTCAAAGAGACTGTTCTGGATTATGCAATGTTTGACTAGTTTTTTACTGGTTTGTTTTGGAAATGCACTTGCACTAACACTGGTGTATTTTCTGAAACACAGTCTGGTGGTGCAGCTGGCTCGAGATCTTCAGGCTGATTTCTATCCTCATTTTCATGACTTTTTCCTGGCCATCACTAAGTTATTGGATACACAGGACACAGAGCTGCTGGAATGGGCTTTTACTTCTCTTTCCTATCTCTACAAATACTTGTGGAGATTGATGGTGAAGGACATAGACAACATATACAGGTAAAAGCTGTGTTTAATGTCTGTGTTGATCAGTTATTAGGTGCTATAGAAGTGTAAATGCCCCATGAATACATGGCTTAATGTTTAAGTGTACTTGTTAGCGTGCTTTCCCTGCTTTCTGCGACACACTGAGCCTTGTTACCCTGTGTCACCCCTTTGAGATCCTGCTGACTTTTATAGGCCGCTGTATTGGAGGAGGGATGTGGGTTGGGCTGAAGATTTAGATCTTCAGTCCACTTTTCTGCTGTGGGAATAGGAGAGGAAGCGTCTACCTCAGGTGGGTAAACAAAGCTCAGAAAAACAATGGATTGTCAGAGTTGGAAGCCTGTGACCAAGTTCAAATTCAGCAGAGGTGTCTTGAGTATCTGTCAAGTGCCTCAGTCATAGTTTAATCATTTCTGACTTTCCCAGTTGCAGACACCAAGACTAACACATTGAATGGATTCCTTTGAGTCTTTAATTTTTTCTTTCCTGATGTTTTCCCCTTTGTGTTTTTCCCTTCTCGCATTGTGTTTAGTGAGGGAGCAGATACTGTATGCACAATTTTGTGTGATTTGAAGCTGCTTGCTGCGGGGTGCTGTGGATGTGGGAGGTTGCTATAGGTTCAGAGGGAAACTGGCCAAGTTGAGGGAGTTGCAAAATGCATAGGAGCTGCTCTGGCTTGGGGAGTCCCTGAGCTGCAGGTGGCTGAAGGCTAATTTTGTATGTCCTATTTTTTTTGCCCTATTTTTAAAACCTTTCCCAGGCATCTGCTTCTTGCTGCTGCTGTGGACTGAATACTGGGCTGAATGGACCTGGGGCCTGACACAGTGTCACTGCTGGTTCAATCTTACATCGCTGTGCTAGTGGGGCTCTTTTTGTCGTAGCCAGAGAGTCAGTGTTGCTTCCTCCTAATTTCAGTTTGGAACAGATGGACCAAAAGGAGATTTACACATTTCCTCCCCAAGCCAGCAAAAGCTGTTGAACATATTGGAAAAACATCTGCTTGCCTGTGAATCTGAGGCACCACTGGCTCTGCACTGAACACGTGCTGAGCCACCTGCAACTGCTGCTGGTGCTTTTCAGAGAACTGCAAATATTTATCACCCCTGTAAATTGTATCTTTAGAAACTTTGAAGCGCACAGGAGATCCTGTTGGCTCAACTGAAATACAAACCTGGGTTATCAAATCACCTTTGGTTTCAATTACTGCTGCAGAGTAAATATATTGAAAGTCTTGCTGCTGCAGTTGAATCTTTGTGGATCCAGAGATTTTAGAGGTATTTTTGAATGTTGCTTAATTTGCCTGGCATTGCCATTTGACCTTTACATAACCGTTCTTTATCCAGGGAGAGTGGGAAGGAATTAAATTGAGGAAGGTATTTGCTCTCTCTAGGAGGACAAATTCTCAGTGTTTGTATAAAATGGCACTGTAAACTGAAAACATAAGGTTTTAAACCAATTAGCGACAGTTCTTTTATTGCCTCTGAGACAGTGGATTATTTTCTGTCTTTGTAGCCTGTACAGCGCCCTGCTGGCTCATCACAAACTTCACATCAGAAACTTTGCTGCTGAAAGTTTTGTCTTCCTAATGAGAAAGGTAAGTGAGGTGTTGGCACTTTGATGCTTTCTCCATTCTGTGTTTGCTCTTGGATTCAATGTGTAATGCTTTTTTTCTGAAGAAGGGTTAACAATACCTACATCGATACATCCTAAGCTGTCATTATTTTTAGTGAGTGTTTTACTGAGAATGTCAAGGGCTTCATATCAGCAGTGGCAAACAGAGACCTTAGTACTCTCTGTTTTAAGAGCAATTAAACTAGTCTGTGAGTATTTTATCTAAAATTACTAAAAGTGGCAAGCTAATCTTGCGAAAGGAAGGCTTTAATTTGTAAATACACATTTGCTCATTGGCTTTTTCACTAATGATTTAAGGCCTTTGTAGAACTGAAATTCTTGTGACAACCTTTTTGTGCTCCTGAAAATCAGCGTACGTAACATTCGCAGGCAGAGCAATCAAGGTCACACCGCAGCCTTTCATGGAGTAGGGAATGGGTGTGGTAGTTGTTGGTTTTTTAGTCAAAATATACCAAAGCCAGAATTCCTGAGCTATGAAGCCTGGACGTCCTCTATTGTGTCCCATGTTGACAGACCTTAATAAAGCACATTTGTTTCATTGGTTGTTCAGAAATTGCTGAGCTTCAAGTCGAATCTTCAGAAATGAAGGGGTTTAAAATCTTGGGCCACAAGTCCTTGCAATATTCTCAGGTGTGGTTATAGTTTTGGATGATTGGGTTCTGTGTCAGCTGATACGTGTCTCTTTCCACACCAGTGCAGTGACCTTTGTGTTTCGGTTGGGACTAGTTTAACGGTGCATTTCAGCACATGTAGCTCTAAAATTGTAATAATGAAACCCACATATTTCAGCTGCAGTGGCCTCAGTAGATCTCTTTACATCTTGGAGGAGGGGCTGTAGCTACTGAATCACTGATAATTTTTCTCCTTTCAATTTTCTGATGATGTTGCAGAAATAATGAGTTTTGAAATGTTGTGGGAAAGCAGGACTAGGAGAGGAACGTGGTGCTGTGGAGCAATTTAATTGCCTCTATCCATCTGGCAGCTCTGAACAGAGGATAAATTTTTTTTTTCCATTTTGTTTTGTAGGTTTCTGATAAAAATGCAATCTTCAATTTAATGCTTCGTGACCTGGGGGAGCACCCTGAGAAGGTGGAAGGTGTAGGACAGCTACTTTTTGAGATGTGCAAGGGTGTTCGAAACATGTTCCACTCTTGTACAGAGACGGTAAAGACAAGAAAAGATTGATGGTTTAAATGTTGCTGTAACAGAGCCTTCGGCAGCGATCAGTGAAACCACTGAGTGTTGTCCTGTTCTCCTCAGTGGATCCTTGGTGATAAGCATGTTGTTCATTATTTAATAAGATCTGAAAACTTCCTTCCAAGAATATTCTTTGAGATAGGAAGGTTGTTTTTAAGTAATTCTTATGCTGTAATCCCATGTATTTCAGATTTTAAATTATAGCCTTTTTTAATTTTTTTTGCGCTTGTCATTCTGAAAAGAATCAAGATCACTGGAATATTTTAGCAGTATATTGCACTAATTTCAGATTTGTTAGATTTATTTTCTAAGTGTAAGGACATGATGTACTCTTTTCCTGTGCAGGCTATGAAGTTAATTCTGTTAAAGCTGGGACCTATCACTGAAGAAGAAATTGAGCTACCATGGGTAACTGTAGGAGAAGCCTTTGAGCAGATGATCAGATCAGCTGTACTCCATATCCATAAGCAGCATTTTGACATTGTCTTCAAGTGCCTGGAGGTATGTTGAGTTTGTGACACTGGTGACTGCTTTGTATGTGACTGGGAGCTCAGTCCTGTGGCAGGGCAAGGAGGAGTTGTAGGATCTGCCTTTGCAGGTGTCACAGACCGCTTGCTGGGGTGGGAATGCTGGAACTTGTTTTCTATTGCTGAACTAGATATATTAGTAGTTCCAAAACCTCTTACTTACAGTAAAGGGGAAGGTTTTTTGCCCTGCAGTTATCTTTATAGCAAAGACCTGGGCTGGACCTGACAAGCCAAGTTTAAGCAGTGTTTTACATCCAGATGTTCCCATGTTGCTGCTTGGGGCTTGCACTCTGAGGTTTGGAGGAGCACAACTGAGTGCTCTGGGCTGTGCTGTGTTGGGTCAGGGTGATACAAAATAATGAGCAAGGGCTTGGCAAGTGTTTTTCACTTGCCTGGCCGACATCTGACTAGTGACTGGGATTTGCTAAAGGGGATTTAAATCTCTTGCGACTGACAACATAGTGTGTCTCAGTTGTGCTCCTCAGAAGGGTGAAATGGGAAACTGGAAGAAATTATACACAGGAACTTTAGGGTAGTTCTTCCAGCATGGGTACACAGTCCTGTTTGTTCCTTCCTGGAACTACTTCCTGATGACTCTCCATAGGTTTCCAGACAATCCCAACCTGTTCCTCCTACCTCATGCAATATGATAGCAGTTACTGCCTGGCTGTCATTAGCTACAGAATTGTTTGCCACTGGATCTTTTATGTTCCTGCAATCTGAGTCACTCAACGTCTGCAGTTGTGATGAAATTCTGGAAACTGTGAATGTAATTCCTTTTTTTTTTTAAATGAGGCTTGTTTTTTTACCCTGGGAACCAGTGGGTGTATTTTGCTCAGAGGGAGGTATTCACATAGTCTATAGTAGGTCTCTAAATTGGTTTCAATGCGTAGGATCAAGGAGGGGAGTTTATATCTTCTGGCCAGAAAGAGACATTAATGGGAGTGAGATGTTGATTCTTTGGAATGTCTTTTAAATAGCAGTAAGTGAAATGGGGTCTGATCGTTCCTCTGAAACATTTTGCTTTCTTTTTCTATTTAAACAGGAGTCACTCTTGGACTTGCAGAGGAAGATAACTAAGGCCAACTGCTCTGTGGCTTCAGAGCAGATAGAAAGGATTTTGCAAGCTTATCTGATCCTAGTGGAACATGCAAATGGATCCAAAATCTCACTGCCTGAAGATGTCTGTCGGGTGGGTCAGACCATCACTTTGGCTGATGTGCCAGAGAAGTATCAATTGAATATGTAAGAGGTGTGGTCAGCTGAAGCACTGACACACAATTTGACACATCATTTGACTTAGGATTTGAGTGGAATGTTCAGAGACATTTACTTTGAGTACTGCTGCCTCACCAATCTTAGGAGAATTTCTGTACTGTAAAGCTGGTATAGTCCTCCTTTAAATGAGCAAGGGGAAAGCTTCTAGAGACCAGTTCTTGCCACTGTGGAGGAGACCTAGATCCCCATAGCAGTGGTAGAACAGTTCTACCAGATTCACATATGTGTCACCCCACTGGGTTCAAATACAGCTTTTGTGCCTTCAGACTTCGACAGGACTATTAGGATTCATTTCTGTGGGCTGAAGCTTAGAACACCATGCCCTTCTGCTCCAGGACTATCCAGCTTATTCAGACCAGACAATTACTATCTTCATAGGCAAATATAAGTTCTCTCTCTTTCATTTCAGATTTTAGTAAAAATGTTACGAACACCAGATCTCTCATCATCTTGCTGTAAGACCCTTCTGAACACCATTTCTTTTTTTTAGAATGTTTTGTTGCCGGATTCTTTGACCAAGGAAGCTATTGAGAAGGTAACAAGGACTGCTGCTTACAGCAGAAATCCCAGAGTTCAAGTTCCCTAGAGCAGGCTGATTTTGGAAAACTCCAGACTGGGAACTATACTGTAAGGTTCCCTTTAGCCTTCTTGCACAGATAAGGGAGAAACTGCCAGATGCCTTAAACGTCTGCAGAGATCTTGGGACTGACAATCTTGCACAGGCTGTTGGTGTAGCAGCGCCAGCAGACATCTTCACCATAAAAACCAGGCTGTGATTCAAACACTTACAGCCTCTGTAGAGAAAGGAGGAAGCACAGAGAAGGGACACGTTCTGCTTTAGAAGATAAAGCAGGCCAGTGAACTGGACTTGGTGAAACAAGTACGTTTTTCACTAAGCTGCCAAGCATTTAGTGAGCATGGCTTAGCCTTGTAAAAATGTTTCAGGCAAGTGCAGTTTAATTTAGAGAGCACAGGAGTAGGCATATCTCTCTACTGCCATTGCTCCTGAAGCATTGGCAGGATTAACTGCGTACGTTCCTATCAAATGCAGTGTTGCAAGGATTAGTAGGAGGTGCTAAGCTTTTTCCTGCCAGTTGGGCATCTATGCTGCAGTCCTAAAATTTTAAACTTATATTTTCTGTATCACACTAAAGAGATACCTAAGCTGTCTTTGCACAAAGCCAGCTTGGATCCAGCAAGGTTTGTTAAAAAGGGTTGTGTCAGCAGGGTTTGTTAAAAAGGACTATGCTTTTCTGTACTTAAACTGTCACTGGAAACAGTATTGCTGTGTGTGCCTGAACTCTCAAGGCCTGCTAGCTGTGAGCAGAGAGCCAGGCTGGGTGTCTCAGTTCAAAGCGTGGTTGATTGATAAACCAGAAAAAAATGTCCCATTGATAGTGGAGAGGTGGCTGTGAAATGTCTCTTGCTAATGTGTTCGTGTCAACCTTTCTTTTGCATCTTGCAGGTATTTGCAAGTGGATTTGAACGGCGCTTGCTTTTGGACTTCTCTGAAGCAATGTTCACAATGAAGCAGTTTGAGAGGGTAGGTGGAAACTTTTGTACATTTTGTTTATTTTTGTTGCTGAAGGGATCAGCTGGGAAATCCATATTTTATTTACCTGCCTTGGATGCTGAAGTATTTTTATGTATTGACTACAGTTCTGTCACGATCTGGTAAAAATGAAGGAGGTTACGTAGGCCATTGTGTTGTAGTTTGGTAGTGGTGCTCAGAGTTTGAGAAGGTGACAGATGTCTGTGGTCACAGAAAGAAGCTTGTCTGTTGGAAATTGAGAGGGGTGGGCTTGTTATGTGTGGATGAGAAGAAGTTCTGGAGAAGGCAAGTGAAGATTAAGAATAGGGGATATCTGATAGGTCAGGCCTGGAGCTGGTGATCTGGAGAAACGAGATTAATTAAATGTAATGGGAGATGAAAGTAAAGTCTAGAATGTCCTGATGAGACTAGATTTGGGGCAAGATGAGTTTTTGCATCAAATCACTCCCTGGTGGGATAAGAGGATGTCTGTGTGCTGGTGTCTTGGAGCACCAGAACTGCTAAGTCTGGTACTTTGTTGGCTTATTTGTGAGTGCTTGGATTCCTCGGTGGCTGATGTTGTGTGATTATTGTGGATTTGATCACGATTGATTAAAGAAACTTACCAATTCCTGACTTTTGTTTTTGTCCCTTCAGCATTTTCTTCCATGCTTTTTAGAGTACATTGAGCATTGCTTCTCTGGCACAGATGCCCTTGCAAAAGATGAGGCGATGGCAATTCTGGCGAAACTCATTCTGGTGAAAGCAGAGCCTCCTACTGTTGGTTCTATGGCATTTGAAAAGTATCCTCTCATTTTCACTGCATCATCTGTCAGGTGAGACTCCTCAAATTTAGCAAACACTAGATGTGTCTGCACAGCTGCAGTCCTGAAGGCAGTGCAGAGCTACGTAAAAGTTGCCCCCCAGTGTTTGCCAGAGTCCTGTAAATGGCAGCCTTGCTGCCAGGTTTGCAAGCTGAGTGATACAGTAGGATCCCATTTTTCTTTATGAGGCTATCTGAGAAGAAATACTGCTCTGGAAGGGTTGTCACTTGTAGAAGAAGACTCGCAAGTGGTGTGGTTGGCATTTGTTACGCAAATGTGCATGTTGTATCTTTGGGCACTTAATCTTTGTAGTGAGTGCTGCAGTCCAAGTTCTCATGATTACTGATCTCCTGCCTGTGCCACATTTTTCTTGCCTGTATGCATATATCTTGTCCAGGAGCTTTCTTGGCAGCAGTGCTATAGTCTTGCTGTAGAGCACAGCTGGGTACCAAAGGGCATGTAATTAATGCGCAGTGCTGGCACAGCTTGACTGCTTCGAGTCACAAAGCTAACTTTGTTGAAGTGAGGTGGCTGTTTTACCTCTGGAGCCTCTTCGGGAAGATTTGGCATAACCACTGTCAAGCACAGAATGACTGATGTTAATCTACTGATAACGATTGTTCTAAACGCTCTAGCTCAGGTAATTAATAACTTTTACCTGCAGAAAAGTGACTTGTATGGCCTTTTATGTAAAGTTTTGTCTTTCCTAAAGGCAATTCACTCTGAATTCTTTCCTACTTTTATTTAATAGAGTGGAGGTATTAGGGCGTAGGGAACAGAAGATTGAGTCAAAAATAATTAAATTTATTTTTCTTGCCGTGTTTTCTTTATTTATTGATCTCTCTGGATTTGCAGTGCTATGGAGTACAGAGCTGAGAAGAGCTTAGACCCACATGGATGTTTTTCTGCTGCTGTAATGTTGGTGTTAGAAATTAGGGCTGCTAGACATCTCAGGAGTTACATACCCCATCTCCTAACTAGTCCTGAAACTGTCCTAAAAAATGCCTGGCCAAATTCTCATTAAAAATTGTCGTGGTTTAACACCTGCAACTAAGCACCACACAGGCTCTCATTTGATCCCCGCTCTGATGGGATGGGGGAAAGAATCAAACCAGTAAAAATGAGAAAACTCAGGAGTTGAGATAAAGACAGTTTTATAAGTAAAGTGAAAGCCATGCATGCAAGCAAAACAAAACAAGGAATTCATTCACCACTCCCTGTTGGCAGGCAGGTGTTCGGCATCTCCAGGAAAGCCAGGCTCCATCACCTGTGATGGTGACTTGGAAAGACAAAAACCATCGTTCTGAGTGTCCTCATTTCTTTCTACTTCAGTTTTATATGCTGAGCATGACATCATGTGGTTTGAGGTATCGCTTTGATTAGTTGGGGTCAGCTGTTGCAACTGTTTCCCTTCCCAACTCCTTGTGCACCCATTCAGCTACTCAGAAGAAAATTAGCGATACCTCAGCCAAAAACAGCACAAAGACTCCCATTCTGGAGATACCCGAGCTGCCCCTGGCAGTCTGCCAGTATTTTCTGTCTTTGTGGTTACATTGGTGTTTGGTTTTGATTTGTTTGGGTTTTTTTGCCAGTCCTCCCTGTATGAACTAAACTTCCTTTACTGCAATTTAAATCCTCTGCTGCTTGTCTTATCTGCCCGGAACATAAAGAGCAGATTATTTGTTATTCTTTGCATCCAGCTTTTATAAATAACAGTTTGATCATCAGAAATATCTGAAATCTTTCTTTGGACCAACAATCCTGATTCTTTGAGGTCTATCTCATAAATTTTGTTTCTTAAACCTCTAATGTTTCTTGATGCTGTCTTTTTGTTAGCTTCTGTATTTCTTGAAGGGTGAAGCCTTTGCAGCCTTCTAAACATGATCTTGCAAGCACTGAGTGGAATGGGAAGATTGCTGTCCATGGGGTGTGAACTACTTCTGTTCATATGGCCCGGTTGTTTATCTGGGCTCAGCTTGTGATTCCTTTTAAGTCCTCAAACTTTTTACTTCACTAATGGTTTTCTATCATCCGCTAGTCTGTGTCAGCGTGATCATGGTTTATTAACAGTCATCACACAGACAACTCTTAGATGCTTCTCTTGCTTCCTAGTGGTGCTGTGCTCTGGTTGTGAAGCTGTCTGACTGAGAACTAGTGTCATTCCTTCTAGAAATACTATGTGAACATGAAGTAAATAGGTAAAATTTCCCGTGGACCAAATTTTGCGCTCCTCAGCATGACTAGATGATATTTTGTGCTGTGGAGGACATTAAAAAGAAAAAAATCCCTTGAGTTGTCCAAGTTCTTCTTGCTAAAAGTAGCAAACATAATTTTGAATATCATGAGAGGAAAACAAACAGTCTCTGATGTGCAGTGGAGGGTTACTAAAAAGTTTGGTTTTATTTTTAGCTCTAATACAAGGCAACAAACAAGTAAAAGACAAGGAGGAAAAGCAGAAGTACCGGTGTTGGATCATGTACTGTCTTTAATCCGTTTACCGGACAAGGAAGACATCACTGACCTTTCACAGCCATGGGTTGCCTTGGTTGCACTGCCACATATTAGGTAAGGGATATTCTAAGGTACTACTGTCATGTATTTCTGTATTACTGTCTAGTTCACTATCTGTAAGAAATTGTTTTACTAAGGGAAGGACAATGATTACTAGTCCTAGTTTGGGGAAACTGGAGTTAGATGGCAAAATAATGCTGTGTGGAAATACCGTGAGTCAATAGTAAAGTAAGAAATAGAATATTAGTTTCCTGATTGCCTACTCCCTGATTTTAGTAGTCTGGTACATAGAGATGTTCTTGCCCCATTTTGGTGTCTGTGTTTTACTGCTGTTCTCTCTAGGCAATATTTTTCTCAGTAATTATGGTATTCTTGTATGGAAGGAATAGTTGGAAAGAAGGTGCAATGAACGCTGCAATTTGAATTATGAGTTGGAAATAGCAAAAAATATTTGCTGCTGGTTTCATTCTTGGGATGAGATGTCTGTAAGCTAATGCAGGATAGATGTGGAAGAAAGCTTTCATATGAGGGTGGTAGGTGTCACTGTAACAGAGATAAAAGTCTTCCCTTTTATTTTGGACAGACCAATGGACAAAGTGAACATTCTGCCCCATGTGACAAGTTTTACAGACTTTCTCTTCACATCCATTGAAAAAGGAAGCCTCTGCAAAGGTCAGTTATGGTTATTTCCTGTTTATTTGCTTTTTTGTTGATATAAAAAAAATACAAGGCAGTTTTTATGATGATACAAAACATAAAAATGAATAGCAGTAGCATTGTATACAGATTTATTGACCAGCTCAAGTAAAGCTAGAAAAGCAAAGCTTGGGAGGAAGCACCCACGAGGAAATGATTCTCCGTTTGCTGTTGCTAATAATAATGGGTAAGCAGATACTCTGCAAGGTGGAGGATAGAGGTAATTGGGAAGGGAAGCAGGAAAGTGAGAAAAAAGGATGGAAATCAGTCCAAAACAGATCCAAGCTGAAGCAGTTAAGTGAAGGAGAGACTCTTGACTCACCAGCTACAACTAGACTATTCTAAACCTGTAGTGCAGAGTTTGGGACTTTACCATCTCTGGCCTAAGTGCCAGCACCAATTTGAAAATGCTGTGTATTTCCTCCAGGCATGGGTAGTCACTGTTTGTCTTTCTGGCCAGGAAAAAAAAATGTTTTAACTGAGCTTGTATTGGGCAGGGCAGTTGCTACTCAGGTGAATTGCAAGTATTTAGCCTTCTGCCAAAGTATAAGCACATACTGGAATGCTCCAGGTTGAGTGTTCATTGTTGCTTCGTTTGAAACGGCTTGTCTAGAGTCTGGCCTTTTCCCTTATTAACATTCCTAAATGTATCTCACAATTGGCTGCTTTTTCATCTCTAGACGTCATCAAGCATTGTTCTTTTTTATTTAGCCCTTTCTTCTCTCCTATTTGCTATGATTGTTTTAGTGTCAATGTACTTATTCCGAAAAAGGAATACCTAAACTTTAGTTTCTCGTGGTTCATCTTTGCTGGCATTAGTAGCAGCTCTGCACCAGCTCTGTGTGTGTGCAAGAGGCACATTGCTATTTCTCCCTTCACCCACAAGAGAAAACAAATGCATCCTCAGTCCTCCCACTGTCCCACCCTACACTTCTTGACGTGATTTTCCTCACCATTCTCCCAAACTAGGGTTTGTGGACACTTTCTTCCTATCCTCCAGCATTAGTTCCATCTCCAGGATCTCTACAATTCTTTTACCTCCTACTAAGACTCCAGTCTCTTCTCACTGCCTGTGCAAGGCACACCCCCAGCCCTGTGCTCCCTGTTTGGCCTGCCTGACCTCTGAGGCAAGGTGCAAGTCCCAGAACTGGGTGTTTTTCTAGAGTTGCTGCTACCCTATTGATCCTATAGAAGTGTTCATAGTGAGGTGAGAGCTGCTGTCTTTGCCCAGCATGAGTGAGCAGAGTACAGTTTGGGAACCTTACACAGTAGGTGGAGAAAGCTTCATCCTGCAGTTCCTTGCTGTTTCTTCTCCTCTGCCTTTGAGGAGCTCCTTTTGACAGTGGTGAGCAGGATTTGGCACACAGATGGAGAATTAAGCAGCTTGGAATAGAGCGATGTTTCCAAAGGAATAAATGGGAAATGAATGCTCACTGCCCAGTTTACCTGGTTTAAGAACAGTGTTTCTTCTGCTTGGGAAGTGACAAAGGAGAGGGAATGATTTTTAATTCTTAATTTTTAATTCTTGGGGATTTTTAACAACCTGCGTGCTAACTTAGGAGTGCCGAGGAAAGGAATTGTTCTTCCGTTTTCTAACCTGGAAGGGCTTTGGCTATCCTGTGCTTCCGGGAAACCCTTAATCCCTAAAGCAGACTGAGATGTTTAGGAAGGAGATGCAATTACCTTCCATTCACTAACAAATATTCAGTCTTGAAGTACATGGGACAGCTTTGAAGATCTCACAGCAATGCACTGCCAAAGTGCTGAAGTCTATAGGCACCTATGTGGTAGCATCAGTATGTATTTTTGCTTCTGTTTTGCTGTGTTCATATCAATTTGGACAGCCTTTCTTCATTTCTGAGTGGCATTTTATAGCATAGAGCTGTCTGAGACTCCTGCAGCAGTGCTTAGCTCCTGATCTTTGCTCTCTGTGTATGCAGGTGTGATGGAAAGAGATGCAAACTGGGAGCTGCTCACAGCTTTCAGTGCTGGCTCACTGGAGCAGACACTTTGAGAGCCAGAGGAACATTTCCTTTATGGGTTATGGCAATGGTTAGAAAATAACACGTGCCAGTTCTGGGATTCATATTTTATCGTTTTTCTGTGACTCCAGCCATTTCAGGATGGGCAAGCACCATTCAAACACAAGTCATTAATTGCTGAGTAAACACACAACTTGTTCTTGTTCTCTTTCTGCTCCAGGAAGTCTGTTTGTGGCCTGCCAAGCTGTAAGTACTCTTCTTAGTTTGGCAGAGTCTTCTGAAATACTCCATTTGTTACCTGTGGAGCGTGTCAAGAGCTTGGTGATGTAAGTAAACTCTGCCTGTTCTGTAATCCTTCTTGATTCTCCTTGGTACAGCAAAGAGTTGACTTTGTTTTTACGTAGAGGATTGTTAAATGCTTCTTTGTGTGTTACCTGTTCTGTTAGGCCGGCATGCTACTTCAGTATTGTGGTTATGTAAGGTAGCAGTGTTGTAGACACTGTTTCTCTAGAGTACAGGTGAAAGTAGTATCTGTTCAGTGACATTTTCTCTGCAAACTGAAGCTTTCGTGGACAGCTGCAAGGTAATATGTCAGGTAAGATGGTTGTAGTTTTGTTGAGGAGCACTATGCTTAGTTAATGTGTTACATTATAATAATAAGACAGTAACAATGCCTTCTGGGTTGTGTCATCAAAAAGCCTGAGCTTCTGCAGTCTGTTGCTGGTGGTGGGATTCTACCATGTCCTTCTATACCCACGTGCGTGCATATTCCACAACAGGAGGGGGTTTTGTATGCTCCATTTTATTTATTGTAAATCTGTTCTATTTCACACACCTAACTGAGTGGCTGGAGGGATAGAGGGAGACTGTTGATCTCTCTTCAGCTAATCCTGCTAAACTTGTCATCTCCCATCACTGCTGGGCATCTCTAGGTCACTGGTGGCTTGAGCTGCAAAGCATCCTGTTCAGTTAGCAAGTCATGATGCCCGTGTCTGAAGCCTGGTGGAGGTGAAGCAGCTTACCTAGATCAAGACTCAGCAGCAAGCTGCAGTGTAGTGCTTTTCTGCCAGCTCTGGGCTGTGGGTGGGAAGCTCGTTTGGTTCGAGGGATGTTAGATAGATTAAGGAGGTTTCCCTGTGGGCAGGCAGAATTCCTCGTGTCTCATCTAAGTCCGGATTATTTCTTTTCTGTTGATCACTGGACACCTGGGCAATAGCACCAACTCTTGTCTGACCTATGTGTATTTGTTTTCTACAGCTCAGGTGAGAGGGGGTCCAGCCTCCTAGCACCAGCCTTAGAGGCCTAATTAGTACAAAGGAGGAATCTTGTGCCTCTTGGGCTGTCATAGGTAGTAATTAGGCTTTGAGGCTTCAAGCCAGCATGCTGGTGAAGTCTGACTTCACTAGCCTGCTGGTGCAGCAGAATCTGAAGTTGTGGAATTTTCTCTTAATGTTATTGTTGTAGTCACTACTGCCTTATTTTCAAATATCTGTGCTGTTCCAGTGCTCTCTGTGTGCTAATAAAATACTCTGTTGTTTTAGCACTTTTCCTTCAGACCCCTCTGTGTTGCTCTTGGCTGATCTCTATTACACAAGGCTGGCGCTGTGTGGCTGCCAGGAACCCCTTTCCCAAGGGAACCTGATGGACTTGTTTGAGAAGTTGCATCCTAATATTTCCACTGGTGTTTCCAAGGTAAGCGGTTTGTTGGATTTTTAGCATGTGCAAGATAATTTGTGTTTCAGCAATGGAATTTAAATAAACTGAGTTAAATGACAAAGATTGAAAGGATATGCATGCGACGGCGTAAAGCTGTTACTTCCATAGTATCTGTTTAGGACTGTGACCATTTCTAAGAGACTGCTGTGGGGCATGAGTTAACAAAGGTTAACTTGTAGCCCTGTGAGGTTTGCATCTTCCCTAGAGGAGAATCAGAGCAGGAACCTAATGTATTCATTTTGAATCACCTGCAAGACTTCAGGAGCTCTCTCAACTCTAGGAGGAGCCTAATGAAGTTGGCCTCCTGTGCAAAACATTAACCTCTGTGCATACATCTGTGTACCTAGTGTGCATTCTCCTGTGTGCCTCTGACATGTGTTTCCACTTTGGATAGGTCCGGCTGTTGACTATTCGTATTCTAAACCATTTTGAGAGTCCACCTTCCGCCCAGATTGAGGTAGGGCTAAAACTTTTCATGGGACGTTTCAAAGCCATTGGTGTTTGATGTTGCTCGCGAACTCTTTTCCACTTTGCAGAAACAAAGATGTGTCTGGTAGAGGTTGTCCTTGGCTTTTGTGCTTTCACATTCCAGTTTTATCTTTGTCCCTCTGCCTCCTCATGTTTTCAGATGTGTGATTTTTGATGCCTAAGTGGTGGAATCCAAAAGAAACCGCTTTTGTTACTCAGTCCAAAACAACTGGGACCATGTAGTTCGGTTGAAATATCTTTCAATGATGAAAGGATACGCTAACAAACCTCATGTCACTTGTTTGTTCAGGGTGATGGCCTAGGAGAACTCCAGCCAGTATTTTCCATATTGCTCCAAGCAGAACTTGTGCCAGCAACAGTGAATGATTACAGAGAGAAACTTCTCCACTTGAGGAAACTAAGATGTGATATAGTGCTGTCTGCAATACCAAGTGGATCTTTGCAGGAGGTAAGTATTATTGTCAAAAAGCGATTGTCGCATTCCTTTATTCCAAGAGAACGTTCTTATTCCATCACACTGATTGCAGAGTTTTTCATGAGAGTTCATCAAAAAATCAGTTAGCTCCTAGATTAGATTTTAGAAAACTTGTTAGTTGGGATCACAGCTCCCATTGTCCTTGGGACTATTTTGTTCTCTTGGATATTTACTAGAACAACAGCAGTATCTAGATAAATGGCCCACGACTAGATCAATTGGGTTTTGATATGGAAGGGAAGGCAGATGATTCCAGGGAGAAACAAGTCATGAGAAAACTTAAGATCGTGACCTTGCCATACCGTCAGCATGGTTGGTTGTTGGTAGGAGTCCCATTGGCCATTGGAGAGCATAGCTTCTGGATTTTGCATCAGGGTAAAAATCTTGTAATACCTATGTAATACCTATGACCGTTGAATCTCCTCTGCTGCTAAGCTAAAGGGAGTGGGAGAGAGAATCAGAAGGACAAAAGTGAGAAAACTCATGGGATGAGTTAAATGCAGTTTAATAGGTAAAGCAAAAGCTGTGCATGCAAGCAAAGCAAAACAAGGAGTTTGCTCTCCACTGCCCGTTAGCAGGCAGGTGTTCAGCCATCTACAGGAAAGCCAGGTCCCATCACGAATTATGGTGACTTGGTAAGAGAAATGGTGTAACTCTGAATGTCCTTCTCTTTCTCCTCTCTTTCATTTCTCCCCTTCCTTCCTTCCCCCAGCTTTATATAGTGAGCATGATGTCACATGGTGTGAGATATCCCTTGGATCAACTGTCCCAGCTGTGTCCCCCTCCCAGCTTCTTGTGAATCTCCAGGCCTGCTCTCTGGTGGGGTTGTGAGAGAAGCAGAAAAGGCCTTACCGTGTAAGCACTGCTCAGCAATAACAAAAACATCTCTCAATTATCAGTGCTGCACAAATCCAAAACACAGCCCTGTACTGCCTACTGTGGAGAAAATTAACTCTACCCCACCAAAAACCTCTCAGAGATCATAGAATGGCCTAGGTTGGAAGGGACCTTAGAGATCATTTAATCCAACCTCCTTGTCATGGACGGGGACGCCACCTCTCGACTACACCAGACAACACATGGGGACCGAGTGGGAATTGAACCCATGACCTCAGTGTTGTCACTGTTGGCAGCACTGTGCTCAACCCACTGAGCTACCCAGCCCCCATCACGGGTTTGGTTGGAGATTGTTTTTCTGGCTCTTCCTGTACCCTTATAATTTTTTTACCATGACTTGTAAGCTCCCATGAGGAAGGGTTGTGTGTCCCTCCTGCCTGTAGGTCAGCAAGGAGACAGTCCAGAGGACACACCTCTCGGCCTGGTGCAGTGAAGACTCCTCAGGGCAAACTTTCTTTCCAAAGTACCTAATGCTGCTGTGGCAGCCTTGCATTTTGAGGGAGAGGCAGGCAATTTGCATCATCTGCTATGCTGAACTGGTTTTTGCACGTTCGTAGGTGTGCTGCCTAGCTCTCAGTGCAGCTTACAGTAAGTGGGCTCTCAGTTTCCTCATGCAGCCAGAAGAGAAGGACTGTTGATGTATGTGACTTGTAGGACTTCTGAAAACTTCCTTGATCAAAGTTGCCTCTTAGAGAGGAAGAAAGGTTATAGGAGGTTGGTTGGTCTTTAACTATTGTGTTTTATATGTCAACAAGATGGTGTTGTATGTTATTCTAGGTGCCTCTTCGGTATTTACTGGGAATGCTTTATATTAACTTCAGCCCTCTCTGGGATCCTGTAATTGAACTTATAACGTGAGTATATGCGGTTTGGTGCTTCAGTCTGTGGTTCTCACAGAACATTCCTTCTGTTGTTCTGTGAACAGAATCTGAGGTAAAACTGTCTGATTTGGAGAGATCTGTGCATCAGAACCTTGTGTGAAATCTTCCAAAATGAATTTGATCTCTGAAAAGAATCACAGTCTGCATAGGCTCTTACTTTTTAACTTGTTTTGTGATTTTTGTTAAGGGGAGCTTAAATACAGTTAAATAGTGTCACAATTTTGAGTCAGAGGTAGCAGGATTTTATTAATGTTTCACAAATTTAGGAAGTCCCTCTCATTTTCTCCATCTCTGACTTTTCTGTCCTTACTGAAAAACTTCTACTGAAGAGTGGGGAAGATGTACCCTGGTGACAGCTGAGCTAAATACTGAAATCAGTGTCTGCTTTGAGCCTGACTTCATCTTCTTGTTTTTTCCCCCTCTGTTGTATGATTAAAAAGGATGGCATTTACCCATTCAAACTAGTGAATTAATAAAAAAAATTAAGCCAGCTCTTCAAAAGAGATGTCCATGCTAATTCTTCCTTTGGTTCTAGATGATATTGCTGTACAGAGATCAGTAGAAAGCTTGAGAGCATTTTTACTCAATTTGAGTTCATTTGAAATCATGAGATACAATGAGATTATTTTAATAACAATTGACATTTTGGATCCATGAGTAAAGGCAAAGAAGTGCTACAGCTGTATCGTGCAGATGTCCTGTTTTCAGACACTCACATTAAAGCACTGATCAAAGCCTCTGAGTTAGTTGTTCACTTGCCCGTTGGTGCATGTCTTTTTTTAATTTTCCTTTTAAATTCTTGCATCTGATGTTTTATTAGTTCTCATGCAAAAGAAATGGAGAATAAACAGTTCTGGAAGATCTTATATGAACATTTGGAGAGGGCTGCTACCTTTGCTGGTAAGTCATGGCTCCTGAATGTTGTTATAACAGTAACTCATCTAATTGTGAGTGACATGACTGTGTTTTTATGTGTGATGGGATAATTCAGAACCAGGGCTCTTGACTGCTAGCATCATATCCACGACAGGAATGGAAACTCTTGTCTCCTTATGTCCCGAGCACCAAGAAGTAGATAGAAAAGACACCTGCATACAGGGAGGAGTCACAAGTTGTGGGAAGCCATGCAGCGGTTTCATCCCTGCTTAAGGCAGGCTCTGCCCAGATTGACCAAGAGCAGTAACAAAACCAGAATGATGTGTCTGACCATCTTTCTGCTCCAGAAGTTCAGTGGAATTCCTGCTGACACTGTCTTTCCTGGGTGTGCTCTTGTGGTTTAACTGTAGGTGTATGGAAACTGTGATTTCATGACAGAGCTGTGAGTGTACAGCCATTTATGGATTTCTCTGTTAATCAGGATTGCTGAGCTTCATTGAGATGGGTTAGGGCTGTAAGGCATCCTAGAGTACTTTCTAAGCAATGTGGGTATTTCAGGTTAGTGTTTAATGCAGTTGTCTGAACAGGTACATGTCATCAAAAAGTATTCCTTTCATAATGGGGGACTGATCTTTTGCTGCTGCTGATGATGAAGTAACCTGAAGAGATTTTCTTCATCTGCTCTATAGAAATGGAGCTGCAAAATGAACTAGATGAACAGGAGGAAAGCATTGCTGAAACGGAAAGCAAGATGCCAGAAGGAGGGGTGGGGACTCTATTCCTGGAGCAACTGAGGACTAGAACAGACTGCAGTGAGCGCCTGGACCACACAAATTTCCGTTTTCTGCTGTGGAAAGCGCTGGAGAAGTTTCCAGACAGAGTGGAGCCTAGGTCGAGGGAACTTTCCCCACTTCTTTTGAGATTTATTAGGTAAGTAAGACTTCTTTTTCAGTTGAGAGGACACATTTTCAATGTGTTGCTCAGCTTTAAGCCTATGGCTGTCCCAGTGTAGACTTTATATCCTGAATGGTGAGATGTTTGTTACCAGTTAAGATAACCTTTTGATTGAAATGTGCATTCTATTAGAAATGTCACACGAGAGTCGGGCTGAAGTGAAACTGGTGATGAGTTTCTTCTGCTTGGTCTCTCATTTATTGACTTGCCACTGTCACAGCCTCATTACTGCATTAGGGAGTGATTTCAGTGGAAATAAAGTTATTTTCTTTTACAAAAAAAATACATTTTAATTTGGAATCACAGAAGACCAAAGTATTCCCAAGATGGGGAAAATACTGTTTTTGTTAGAGGCTGATTCACTTTCCTGGCCCTAGAGAGAGAGAGCAGTGGTGTGCTTGCATGTGTGCACAGGTCAGATAGTATATACTTGCTGAAATACACTTCTCTGAGAATTTTTAGCTGTATAGTGTCCCAAGATACAGTGCCATTAAAAATGAGAATGGTGGATTGTGGAGTTGTTAGTTTTTCTTGCCCTGAAAATTTGAAAAATGCAATATTTCTTAATTCCATCCTTTTATTTTTTAAACACAGAAATGAGTACTACCCAGCAGATTCATTAGTGGCTCCATCTCAGGATCTTAGAAAGAAAAGTAGTGATACAGCAGCAGCAAAAGAAATAGCTGATGAAGAGGTGAATGACGTAGCTATGGAGGAGGAGGAAGAGGAAGAAGAAAAGGAGGGAGGGGAGCCGATTACTGTAGGACTACCAAAAAAGAAAAGAAGAGCTGCTGCTAAGTAAGTATTTTCAGTTTTCCCTTGCTAGTGCTTTCACAGAAAGGCAGATTCAGCGTCTTATGTTGAGATAAAAATTATATTTTGATATGTATTCCTTTTTCTTCTTTTGCATGCACTTCATAATTTTTCTGTGAATTAGAAGCACTTAGAGTTAGAAACTCCACCTGCACAGTACCTGCCCAGGCTTTATCTCGTTACCTGCTGACAGTCTGTGGTTTGTCTTACTTTAAGCAAAAAATAAGTGGTATTCTGAAGCTTTCAGAGGCCATAGTACCTGCATTTGCCTGATCTCTGTGTGTATCTGTTGGTCTTTTAAAACCATGGGCATTGCCAAACACTTTGAAAAATTAGACTGTTCATTTAGGTATTTTAATATTGGGATTCTGCCACTGCCTACCTGTTATAAATCTTGGTTCAGGTCTTCCTAGTGACAAAGATTTTTATTTGGTAGTGGTTCAGACTGAAGCTACACACTGTTGTAATGTCATTGGTTGCAGTGCTGAATATGTGGAGAAACTGGCTTTATGAATTCTCCACAGTTTCTCTAATCAGAGCGTTTTTAACCCTGGCAACTTCTGTCAAATGTGCATTAGTAATACATCACAAAGATCTGTATTTTGCTACTTTTTCTGCAAAGACATGGAGGAGGGTAGCCCAGCTAAGTGTCTAAGGAGTGTCCAGTGCAAACTACCCGGAGGAGCAGCTGGATGAGGACAGCCTCTGCCAGCCCCACAGTGCATGTGGTAGAGGAAGTATCACACCTTCCTTATGCTGGTCACCTCTCTTCCCACTCACAAAGCAGAGACGAAGCAGATGTGAGGCGACACAGCTATTTCTAGAGGAACCGACTCCCACCTGTGCTTGCAGCCCAGCCTAAGTCCAGCACAGTCTGTGGCTCAGTGCAGCCCTTCATATTGATAGAAGGGAAATGGGCACTAGTTAAGGATAAATTAAAAAAATCAAGAGGTGAATTCACCTTTTTGGTGTTCCAGGCTGGGCTGGCAAAGAGAAGTAAGCTGCAATCTTGACTGTTTGTATTCCTTTCTCATCAAAAGCTGAGCGCATCTGGTACTACTGAGGAAATGGCCTTCTCTGTGCAGTGAACTGATGTCTGGAAGTTGCTGCTGAGGAGAGGGAACAGGATACCTCTTGCCGTGTCTCTGAAATGAAAGTCTGGAGACTGGGATCCTCTTGTGTTGTTTTGGGTTTTGGTGTGTTTTTTTCTTCTTTCTTGTTAATCACTTTTACTAAAAGTTCCCCATTTGTTTATGATAGTGCAGGATTGTCCCTTCTGGTCATTTTAAAAAATAATTGTTTTGTTTTACAGACAACTGATAGCCCACTTGCAAGTTTTCTCTAAATTCTCAAATCCTCGTGCATTGTATCTGGAGCAGAAGCTGAACGCATTGTATACCCAGGTGATGCTATTTGCTGGCTTTTAGAATTCCTGCTAATAAGTGAACTCATTCTTTTTTGAATGCAGTGTCTGCGACTGCAGAAACCTGACATTTTCTGTACTCAGCCATCATAGCTGAAAAAGAAACTGTACTTGAGAGGGCTTCCTAGCAGGCTTCACTTGAAGTGAGCCCCTTTAGCAAAGACCTATTTGAGATACCTGGATTAGTTTGCCAGGAGTGGCTTATGCAAACAAATCTGGCAGTAGACAAGTAGTTGTCTTCAGCAGGCTGGAGGACTGGCTGTAGAGGGAGTCTGTTCCACTTGCGTGGCAGGATCTGGAAGAGGATTTTTTAATCCAAAGCTTGGGGGAGACCTGATGAGATTTATCCCTGTCCTGCAGTGTTATCATAGAATCATAGAAACATTCAGGTTGGAAAAGACCCTTGGGATCATCAAGTCCAACCCATAACCCTACTCTGCATGTCTACAAAGAGCATGGTCAGTGTGAACAACAGGTCATTTTGCATTAAAAAAAACCCAACCAACAGATTTTCTTCAAGTATATTCAGTTTGGTAAGATTCCTTTATGATGGAATTCAGGGATTTTCCTGAAGGAATTGTCAAAAAATATAACTCTGAAGAGGGTTTCTAAGTCTTTATCTTACACTATTGAAAGGGACATTTTATTAGTTTTGCTGAGTTTTGATGGTTCCTGATCTGTAGGTTTATTCAGATTGTTGGGATTTGCTCAGGTTGTTCCCAGTTTGTGTTCTCTGAGGTTGCCATCAGTGGGTTGTAGAATAGTATTATATGGTACAAACCTGTTAGTTCCCTGGGTTTCACCTGATGTGGGAGTTGGAAGGTTCATTCATTAGTCCTCAAATTTTGAGAATCTCCAAGGAACATCCTCTCTGTTTCATTCAGCCTCAGAGTTTTACACATGTCTTAGGATGGTTTGGGTAGTTTGCTTTTTCCTCCAGTCTTCCCATATCCACAGCTGTAACTGGTTTTGGAAGTTGAAAACTCAAGTTGAGAGTAGTCCAAAAGACAACTGGAAAACCAAATATTGTAACTGTCCTATCTAGATGTAAGGGGGGGAAGTATATATGAACTATGAGCAATCATGTCTGCTTTTTCTGAGTGACAGTTGTATATTCACATCTCAGCTTTATACTGGCAACACTTACCTTCTGTTTCCATTTTGGTAAATTAGTCCAAAATCTGCTCGAACTTGGAGCCTTGGGATTGTTTCTTTATTTCCAATAAGCACTTTTGTCTTCTAGATAGGGACTAATTTTCTTTTTTTGTCATTTGCAGTTACTGTCCCATCAAGACCAGAATGTACAGAGAATAGCTCTTGACTGTATAATGACGTACAAACATCCTCATCTGCTGCCATACAGGTAAAAGCTTTTATGTTATTTAGCATTGGTAAATAAGCCTGCTGTCGTATCAGCAGCCTGCTTGAGGTTGACTTGCCTCAAAGAGAAAGCCTTTCCTGTATTGGTTAAAGACAGATGTATAAATTTAAATTGTAGCCAGCTGTATATTTCCTATCTAAACCTAGAAATAAGGTCTTGAGATTGCTTAGTGTCTTTTTTTTAAAGGGAAATGACAACACTTTTATTCTGGCCCAGAATAGTGTGCGTTGCATCCATTTCAAAGAGGTCTTTTGTACTGATGAGAAAGCGACAGCATAGAACTGTAGTTTGTAGTTGAATAATCTCTTCAGACTGTGTCCAGGAGTTTATTTTCTGACTAATAAGCTTGGACTTGCTAACTTTTTTAGTATTTTGGTTAAAAGAATAGCAACATAATACTTTAATATTTTATATACAGCATTAGACAGGTAGATGTAGATGCATGTGTGTCTATTTGTAACCCCTAGCTGCCCTCAAATATTATTTATTACTTTCAGGGAGAACTTGCAAAGACTACTGGAAGACAAGAGTTTTAAAGAAGAAATAGTCCATTTCAGTATTTCTGAGGAGACTGCAGTAGTAAAAATGGAGCATCGATCAGACCTCATCCCTGTTCTTATGAGGTGTGTCATGAAATGTGGGTTTAAAAATTTTATGCTGAAGTGGGGATGTAATGCTGCTGCTTCTCATTTTAAACAGTTGAGATAAACCTGTGGTTAATGGTGTAGTTTGATGACTTTGTCGCATTCTCAATGGCTTCTTTATTAACACTTTTATGCAATGTGTTATGCCAATGGTGCTTTCTTTAAAAACAGCATTTTGGTAAATAATGTTTCTGCCAAAGTTTACAGAGGGCTGTGAGAACATTTCAGTTTGCTGTGTATTGCCACTTACTAAGATACAGTTATGCAAGTTATCGTGCATATAACTAGGTTTATACCTGAAATCTCCAGCAAAGCTTCCGTTATAGTAGCAGAAGCTGATCTTGCACTGGGATGTTTTTGAGCGATGTGTAGTAATTCAGTGGAGACCCTGAAGGGAGGACTTCCACTCAGATTGTTCTCACTAGAGAATATTTTTAAACGGAGTTTCTCCTGCAGAATAAAAGGCTGGGAAACAGATGGTTTGCTGAAAGCTAATGCAAGCTCTTTTTGGCTCTTGAAGGATTCTCTATGGCAGAATGAGAAACAAAACAGGGAGCAAAACACAAGGCAAATCTTCAGCGAGCACTCGCATGTCGATTGTTCTGCGATTTCTTGCTGGCTCACTGCCGGAAGAAATACGGATGTTCTTGGATCTGCTCTTTGAAGCTGTGAAGCAATTCAGTAACGGTAGGTATGGGCAGTAGAAACTGGGGGTATGGTACTTCCTGACCTGTGGAGATGTGGGAGGATAAATATGCTCAGTATTATTGTTAATGTGTTTCAGTTTGTCTCTGACAATGCCTTGAAGGCTGGTAGGATGAAAGTAAAGTTAAGGACTGAGATTCCCCCTGAGCTTTTACCTGAGCAAAGCACAATTGCTGTGTTTTACAGGCCCAAGGTCAGAAAAACTGAATGACTTGCCACAGCTGTACAAGGAAGCTGTAGCAGGCTGGGAATGAGCAATCACTGGCATTGTAGGCTGGCCTGCATGTGATGGCAATAAGCAGAGGGTGTGAAGTGCTCTGACACTGTAGCAGTAGGAGATGTCCAAGTGTCACGGTGAGATGGAGACCCAGAGCTGTCCTTATTTAAAAAGCTGAATATGAGGATCTGTAATTTAGAGTCAGATTATACTTGTTTTCACTGAAAATTATTTTTGGTAGTGGGTGTCTTTATGGTGCATTTCTAGATAAGTTGCTTTCCCTTTGCCTGTCACAGGGCCTTGCCAGGCTGCAGTGCTTCGAAGTATGTCAGAGTTGGATTTAGCTAAAGTCCTGCCTCTTGGGCGTCAGCATAGCCTCTTCAACGGTCTTGAAGTTGTGTTGAAAAACATGGGACATTTGATCCATCAGTACCTGCCTGAAATCCTACAGATTCTGCTCTGCATGACGGCTGTGGTATCCTGCATCCTCCAGCAAAGAGAGAAGGTACAGTATACGCACATGATATAAAACCTGTAATTAAATTCCTTTCCCTGCTACTCCCCTTAGCTTGCGCATGTACGTATGCCTTCTCTGGTTCAGGGAAAGATAAGCTTAATGCCAGCATGGAGTGAACCTTAGCAATCAGATTTCTGTCTAAATAGAGGCAAATGATATTTGTCTGAAAGTTCTGCAAGGCCCAGGCAGTGCAGGTGGGGATTTTGTTTGAGTTACAGAAGGTTGGAGGTGATCTCTGTGCATTGCTGCCTGCTTGCTCTGTGTAGAGATGGGAGCTTAATGAGTTGTCAAAAGGACGTAACAAGATCTTAACAGCTGGAAGTTGAAATTAGCCTTAAAGATGTAGTTTCTCAGCTGCAAGGATAAAATATTTGAGCAAGGGAAGGAAAGGATTTAAACTTCGTTGTCTGAGAACTTCAGAGTAAAACTTGTCTTTGAGGTGTTTTGTTGCAGTACTAGATTCCAGGGGAGCTCAGCATTGTGGAAGATCGCAGTGGTTATCTGCAGGGATTATCTCCTGTCATGGGACACAGGGAGAACACAAATACCACCCATGCTCTCAGCAGGCTGGAAGCATATTCTACTCCGTATCAGGAGGAGTCATGCTCATCCACAGTGTCACAGTTTGGATCTCAGCCAGATACCCACAGAACACTGAGAATGGTTTGGTTTTTTTCCCTTGCTCTGCAGTGGGTGTATGTGCAGAAAGGATCAGGTGAGGAAAACATTCTGTTAGGGATTGGCTGCATCTAAAGATGGGACGTAGGGGCTTATTGTTGCTGTGTGCCCCGGAGAGCAGCACAGAGATCCCTGAGCTCTAGCCCAGCCGGGTTGGGAGCTCTGTTGCTGGCTGTTCATAAACTAGGGCATTGAGCCAGGCTTTTCTGTCTTTCTGAAACCACTGCCTTTGCCAGGCTTCAATCTAAGTAGCAAAAGGAAACCTTGAGTCTGGTCTGGTGCAGAGCCTGATCATATATTAAGTGTGAAACAAGCAAACTGCATAGTCATCATCATCGTCACTGTGGTGCTGAAAGGAATTATGAGAAGATAGAGTAGCTGGTGTTCAGTAATGAATGTCTTGTCACCATGCGGATGTGTTCTTGCCAAGACCCATCTGTGAGCATTTAAAGGTTAGAACTTGACTTGAAAATAATCCATCAAAGAAAGCAAGCCCTTGCAGCCAGGTGGCAACCAAGGTCCTGTAGATTTCTGCAGGCTGCACAGAACCTTGAAACTGTCTTCATTTGTGAAGAGAACAAGCAAACTTTAGGACAGCAGCGTCCCACAGTCTGACGAGCAATAGATTGCATGCACCTACATGTTTTAGGCTGGGAAAGGAGTTTTAAATACTTCATTCATTGCTGGGATAGCCACGTTTCTAGGGTTAATACGGTGATCCTGTCATCGTTGCCTGTATGGAGTGGCAGTCATTTGTCTGAACTTAATTTAGCACTAAATTAGCCCCTGCAATGTTAAAAGCTAAGGAAGAGTGTGAGAAATCTGTTTATGTTGGCTAATGATTAGACGCTTTCTTGGAATTTGAGAGTAATTTATTGCAGCCTGATACTGCCTGAAGAATTAAACATCAACTTTTGACTGTTTTAAGTCACGTTATTAATTTACAGTTTCCTACTAATCGTATTCAGTATTGAGTTTCTTTGATTTCTCAAAGACTTGATTTCAGAGGACTGCTCTTTCAGCAATTAAACAGTGGGAGATCCCAAATTATTTGACTTGGGGGTCATTGTTAGCAGTAGCAGCATGGTTTCTGCTTTTTTGACTCTTCATGCAGCTCATTTGCTGCTTGGTAGCTGATTGTCCACTTTTAATTCATGTTCAGCACAGCCGGGGACATCCTGGGCAAGAGCACACTTGGTTCCTTTGCCACCATCTCTTCTTTGTCTTTTTACCTGTGGTTTTGGATGCAAAGGGAGTGTAGAAGTGTATTGCATGATAGAGGGCAGTGTCTTCAGAAGTCCATAGGTATATCAAATAAAATCGTGTTATCTTTCAGTGAGGCTTTGACACCAAAGTTGCTTTGCAAAGTAGGAGATAGAAGTGTTTGTTCTGTGTGGTGGATCATGTACTGAAGACTCTGAGGAACCCCAGGCATAGCTCCAGTTTGGGAGAGCAGCCTTTGTTTGCTCTGACCTGGCTCTGGTGTTTCTGAGACTGGAGTTCAGTACCTCTGCACTGTGGAGCTACCTCATGTGTTTCTGCTGTGAGTTGCGTTGCACAGTGAGGAAACAATTTATGTTCCTCATGTCAAGACTCTTCTCAGGGAGAAGTGCATGAAGAACTTCATGATTAGCTGTGTAGCTGATTTCCTTACTGAAGTGTTTTCCCCAAGAAAGGCTGTGGTAGATAACCATGAAATCGGTACATGAAGCATACTCCTGTAACTATATGATGTGCTTCCCCTTTGCACCGCTGGAGGATGTCATTCACATTATTGTCTTTTCTGTTCCTCCCAGGCCCTTCTCCTTGTCTGTTGATATCTTCCCACTGGATCTTGGTGTGCAAAAGTACAGCTTTGCTTTTGAGGGCTGATTTGGGTCTTTTCCTGTGCAAAAGAGAATTATTTAAGTGTCAGGGCTGGAAATGTAATACTGGTGTAGCTTTCTGTGTTTTGTCCAAAAAGGGAAGATGCTTCTTCAAACTTGTCAGCATGGATTTTCGTGAGCTGAAGGAGTCCTGTGTAACTAATTCAATGCAGGAGGAGGCACCTTGTAGAAAAATTCAGGTCAACTGTGAGAGGTAGATTGCTACTGTGAGCAAGTTAGAGGAGAAAACAGAAGAATATTGTGATAGTTCCAGCAAAGATTGTATCTGTGGTCAATGAATTGCTGTATTTAATTTCAGAGCAAGTACTTAGTACTTGTTCTGTGAAGGTCTTACTGGTTTGTTTTTTACAGGTCCAACCTAGGTTGATTAATCCACTGAAGAATTTGAGACGTCTTGGGCTCAAGCTTGTGGTGGAGTTTTTTTCTGATTATGAGACCTACAGCTTTAGTGTGGAAGAGATTGATGCTGTTTTCCATGCAGTGGTATGGCCTCAGGTAAGTATTTCTTGTTCTTTCAAACAGTTTATGTGTAACTTTTGCCATGCGGACCACCCAGCTGCACTGAAGTCCATCGTGCCACCTGTGTCCCTCACGAGCTTGGTTGTGGCCTCAGAAAGATTCTGTCATTTTGATGTGTCCGTGTAAGGCCAGTTTCTTGGCTAATGCCTAATTAGTCTTGGGATAATTCAGTCACGATCTAAAGTAGAAATTAATTCATCTGAATCGAATGGATGCTATTTCTTTTGTTCTTCTAACCACAGAAGCAGACTTATCCTCTGGATGTAGCTCTGTATTTCACTGGGCTGTGCAACAGCGAGTTGTATCTTCCTGGTTTGTCCATGGAGTGTTTTCAAGGTCAGGATGCTGCATAGGGCAAAGCAGTGAACATTTGCTGCAGTCCCAGAGCAGTTCAAGCGTGCGGCTCAGGCTTTAAGTCAGCAAAGCATTTATTGTGTGGAGCACTGTGCTTAAAATGCAGATTAAATCTGAACTGGATGTAAAATTGTTAGATAGTTAGAAACCCTGTTGTCCTTATAGGTATGAGGAAAAGAGAGCTGGTTTTCGAGCTTGGATGGTAGTACGATCCTGAAGCTCCCTCTAGAGGGAATCCCTACCAGTGAACTCCATGGAGGTTGTGTTTTGGCAGAAGAATCGTAGGACTTCGGTGCCTCCTCTTTCTAAGGCTGCGGCACTGAGGTGTATAAAAACTTTTGGAGAGGGCAAATTGTTTTAAGCTTTGAGACTTGTTACTCTTCATACGATAGGAGTTTGCTGCAAAGGCTCAATATTGTGTGCCTGCACAACAGCCTTCCTGCAAGATTGGATTAATGATTTACTCTTCATTGTACATCTTTCAGAAAAGCTGTTTTATGCAGAGGAATAACATTACTAGCCTTTGGGGACAGAAGAGCAAGCTTTCTAAGATCCCAGCTATGACAGTCAGACTTGCCTTCTCTTCTGTTATGCTCAGGTCTTGAGCCTGGACCGAGTTAGTCCAAAACCCATATGCACCATCCTGACTGTTGCCCCTGAGTGCACTGGAGTCTCCCCTGCTTGAGTGTTCACTAATGGTGCCCTGCTCACATTTCAGCTGTGGTCAGAGTGGAAACCCAGCTGTGTGGCTTGTGTGCAGCTTGTTGGGTTGCATGGTGGCAAAGAGAAGGGAGCCAGACCTATGCACTGGGTCTCTTTTTCCTGTGTCCTGTCACATGAAGGAGCTACTGTGTAGGGCTTAGGCTGGCCAGCTCTCAGGTGGGATTGTTTTGAACACAGAACCATTAGGAGATCCCATCCCTGGGGTGTGGTGCAGTGCTTGAGCCTCTCCCTGAGCAGAGAGGGTGCTTATATAGCAGTGAGACCATGGAAACATAGAGCAGATGCTGCAGCCAAGGCATAGGACGAGTGACACTTCGTTATTTCTCTTGAGATCTCACAGGTAGGTTTGGGAGAGATTACTGGGTCTCTGCAGCAAATTTGAGGCTTCCTGAGGAGCCAGTTTCCAAGGGAGAGCAAAAATGGTAGCTAGAATAGTGTATAAATAGGAGTAAGATAATCTAAGGGTGATTCCTTACATATTGAGGAAGCTGGAAAAATGATGAAATTACTGTCTAAAAAGGGTAAGCTATTGGTTGTAGAGAAGTTTTTGTTAGAGATGAGGTTTTTAAGTGGCTTTACCTACCTATGTTGTATTGTTATCTCTTTTAGGTCTGCAGATTGGCTTCAGAGAGTCAATATTCTCCAACTTTTCTGCTCAAACTCATTCACACCTGGAGTAAGAATCCCAGGTAAGTGTTCTCCTCACAAAGAAGCATAAGTGCTTCTCCTGAGTGCACAAAATTCAAGGCTAAAAGAGCACACTCACAGGTTATGAATAATTGTGTCAGACCTTATATTTTCTTTCTCCATTGGACTGTTACTCTTTTGGTAGCAGCCCAGATGCAGTTTAGACAAAGCACACTCACAGGTTATGAATAATTGTGTCAGACCTTATATTTTCTTTCTCCATTGGACTGTTACTCTTGGTAGCAGCCCAGATGCAATTTAGACAATGACTCTCTTTTTAGTGGACTTTTTCCTGTATATTAAAAACTAAGCACATAGTAACCCAAATCCAGCTGATAGGTGAGCTCATGGACTGATTTCTTAGGATATGTCTCTGACTTGATCAATGGCTTTTTAGTCTTGGGAAGTGGGAAGTCAGTTTTACAATATATCATTTAACTAATGTTTCCGATTCACTGTTTCTTGCTGGTTTATGAAAGTATATGGACAGGTTCAGCACAGCATCTGTGACTCAGATCCTGATACTGGAAGTCTTAAGAACTTTTTTCTTTGATGCAGACACTGTAAGAAATTACAGCTCACCTTTCTTGTGTGATTTTTGCCGTTTCCGCAGACTTGCTGCTTTTCCTTTGTTAAAGTGTCCAGTATCTGTTTTAAGACATATCGTTTGTAGACATGAATAACTTGCACACAAACTTCTGTAAAAATTGTATTGAATAATTAGGTTAGGAGCAGACTTACAGGAGGCTTGGACAAACATCTCTGAAGAAAGAGTTAGGTTTAGGTGATGCTGTCGTAAAGCAAGAAGAGGGATTTGATGACCTCTTAACCTCCATTGATGGCCTCTTAACCTCCATTCCTTCTATTTTTCATGATACTGTTGTTCTGTGATTATTTTTTTACACTTTTCTCTTGTTTGAAGTAGAAGACAGAAGTTCTGAAAATGTCATTCAGCCAAACATTTTTGTAATCTTCCTTTCAGGTATTTCACCTTGCTAGCCAAGCAGCAGCCGGATCACCCAGAGTGTGATATATTGTCAAATGTGTTTGCTGTGCTGTCAGCCAAGAATCTATCTGAGGCCACAGCCAGTCTTGTGATGGACATAGCTGATAGCCTTCTCAACACCCCAGATTTTGAGCCCACGGAGCAGGCTTCCAGTCTGAGCGTGACTGACTGTGTTGTTGTGGTCACTGGAGCCGAGACAGAAGGTATGCCTGCGTAAGAGTCGTGAGAGACCTGTTGGGTGCTTTGGATGGAAGCATTAGATTGTGATGAGGTTGTCTTTGTGCTGGCTGAGAATACTGAGGAAGAAGACCTCTCAGTGGAGATGAAAATATCAATGTCCAAATTTGTCTTGGCGTGTTCAAGACCTGTAAAGTCCTGCTGGTGTAATGGCTGGTGAAATCCACATTTGAGTGTCAAAGTCCTGAGTGTGGAGAAATTCCTTTTGAAGAAGGAAAATCTGTGTGGTCGACCTGTTTTGCCTGTGCAGTTTGGCTGAAGTTGGTAACTTAAAGAACAGCAATGCTGACTTGACTCTGAACCTAACATCAAGTTTTATGTAAAGGCCCTCTCCCCATACGTGCGTGATCATTTATCACTTTGATGTGTAGTCTGTGCTCCCTGACAAGAAAGATCTGGCATTGATTCCTTTTGCCTCTGAGCAGTGGTAGTCAGGGAGGACAGTGTGCTGTGTTTGATGCTGTGGAGCCATCTTTCACCTGTAACACTGGAAGGTAGTGGAGAGGAGAGCACTTACTGCTGAGGCCTTGTTACAACAGCTTTGATTTACATCTACAAATGCTCCAGCCACTTTAGGAGTTAGTTACTTCCTCTGATGAACGCCTTTAGTATCTTTTGATAAGCCCACACTTACCAGAGCTGTTACTGGAGTCTGTGAGGAGAGCTTTTTTTCTCGTGTGTCCTTTCTTTGGTCCCAGCTCAGATGTGTTAGTTCTGGTCTTAGTGTATGCTGGTACATGCTCCCAGCAGCCAGCTGCCCTGCACATTCATAGCTCCTATTGATTTTTTTTTTTCCCCCCCACTGATGAAGCCTCTTCTGTCTGCGTTTCCCCCTTTGTTTATGTAGAGGTGGATCTCTGTTCTGTTGCTTGAGCACAAAATTGAGTGTTGCTAACTATTGTATCTCTTACAGAGCCCCTCAGCCTAGGTTGCCGCTTGGTTCTGCCTCATGTTCCTGCCATACTTCAGTACTTCAGCAAAACAATGTTAAGTGTGGAGAAGGTGAAAAAGAAGAAGTACAGAGCTCAAGTCAGCAAAGAGCTGAGTATACTTTCCAAGTAAGTGCTTCTTCAGAGCTCCAAACAGTTCAGAAGTTGGGAAGAGGGAGGAGGAAAGAGACTGTTCGTAATAGGTTCCAAATTAAGAAATGTTATATCTCAAACTATTTAAATTTGGAACCGCTTGAAAATTCCTGGATCTGTCATTGACTTTGCAAGTTACTGGGGACTGAGGCAAAAAGTTTTCAGAAATTGATTCTGGCTGTTACTGTTGCTGGTACTCAAAGCCAGTGCCTCTTGGGGGTAGGAAAAGGTACAGAAGTGGCTGCAGTCATGTGGAACTGAGTACTTGGGCTGACAGTATAGTTTTGGTGGGGCCACTCTATTAGCCTCGATGGACTGATAAAACCCTGTGATACAGCAGCAATGCTGACTGAGTTCTTCTTTGCTCTATACTGGTGATTGGATTGATATAAAATAGCAAATTACTTTGTCTCATTGTACAGGGTCAGCAAATTTATACAAGAAAAGAGTCAGAATTCAGTGCTTGTGAGCCTTCTCCTCCCTTTCCTTTATCAAAGTAACATGGAGCAGGTAGGTAGATACTAATTTCTACACCCCTCCCCCCTTAAACAAGTTTTTCTTTTAATAAAGTGTATTTGTTTAAGATACAGCTAAAAGTCTTACTGATTACATAATGATTAGCCTGAAATTAAATCTTCGTTTGTAGTCTGCTCAGAAAGCTGTGAAATTGCTTGTTGATGCGTACGAGTCACTGGATACTTCACAGGGATGCCAGTGCCCAGGCTCACTCTCTTCCCTCTTTTCACGGGCAAGCTCTGCAGAGGTTTATGTGCAGTCTTTACCTCCTTTGCCACTATAGTCAGGCCGCCAAATTCCCTGCAGTGTTTGAAATAAATGCTCTTCTTCAGTGTGGATATTATGCACCTTAAATATAAAGCTGCAGCATCTGGACAGCCATAGGAACACACACGGCTGAGTATGTAGTACATGCTTTTAATGGGCAGTGCTACATTCGTCTGTTGCAGAATGAGAGGCAAACATATACAGTACTTTTAACATGCTTCAGTATCTCCTGCTTCCATTCTTTTCTCCTTCCACTCTTAAGGAATTTGTCCGAGGGTACAGAAGTGAATCTCAGAACTGAAACTTCCCTAAAATCTTAAATTCCTCATACCTTCAAAGCAGACAGGCTGCAGCTGAAGGAAGCAGAGCTCTGCTTGGGTTAGACTTTTGGAAACTTAAATAAATCAAGCACTGAGGATATTGGTAGACTATTTTTTTCTGTGTTTCCCTTGCTGCCAGACATTGTTTTCAGAAGTAAGTGTCATCAGCAATGAATGAATCTATTGATTATTTAACTTGATTGCCCCAATCCTTTCATCAAGGCTTGGGTTTTGTTTTTTTTAAAACACAAGCAGTTGCTCAATGAGAAGATTTTAGGTGTAATCTGTAGCTTCTGCTTTGCAAGTGGTCATTTACTTGTTTGCAGATGATTCTTGTTTTTTAAATCTGTGAATCGTTAGGGGACCATACATGGTTTCCATTTGGGGGCATCATACAAGTGTGTGGTGCTGTTAACATTCGTTTCACAGGTTAAAGAAAGACTGTATTTTAAAGATCTATTGGTTCTCCTGACCTTTGAGTCATTCGAGGAAAGACACAAAAAAGAAGCCTTCATTGTGATAGCACTCTTCTCTAACTCTGTACTAGTGTCTAAGTGAAATGTTTCAAATGCTTCTGATGACTGCATTGAGTGTGTCCTCCTAAATCTTTGTTCTCATTCAGTATCTGTGATATGAATAAAATACAGCAAAGTGGCTAAGTTCACTCTGTGTCTTGAAATATTTCCCACGGAAATGAAATAATTTCCTGAGTTTTTAGTATTTACTGACAGTTATCTGTCTCTTTCAGGCTACAGAGATTGACATTCTGGAAACCGTGCAGAACTTGCTGAGGCATTGCTCAAACCCTACAAGCTTTCTCAGACCACTGGCAAAGCTTTTTTCTGTCATCCACAACAAGCTGTCTCGACATAAGTTGTGCTTGGTATTTCAGGTATTGCATTTTTACATGTCTTTCTGTGCTTTTTTAACTTCTTCTAGGAGATCAAGAACAAAGTAACTATCAGTATTTATCTTTGTTGTACATGAGCTTAAAAACCTTTTTAATCTACATCATCTGTTAATTGAAAGTAACAGAATTGTATGTGATAGAAATTAGTGAACTGCACAGAGATTCGTAAAAGTTGACTTAGAGCCTGGTTGATGTGAGCGTCACCAGGGTTCTTCTGTGTAAGAGAAGCCAAATAAAGCACACTTCCATCTGTATCCAATCCTGTATGATTTTGGCGTCCTGAAGATGATTTTTATTTGTGTTCTTCTCTCACAGATTTTTAACAGCCAGGCTGTTTTGTACTTCAAGTGACTTACATAGCTTTTTTTTTTTACCTTTGTTAGCGGGAAATGCTAGTATAGACATTTAGAAACTTAGGAACTTAAACCAGACATCTTCTGTCTTATGGACAGAAGATTGAGCTTCTCAGAGGAGAAAGATTGATGCCATTGCTTGCTTTATTTTTTGTCTCAAGTAGTAATGTCTTGAGTTCTCCAAATTTTTAACAACTGTAACAGTTAAACTAATTTTCTTTTATGTTTCTTTTTTAGACTTTATCTGATTTGGACAATGAATTGAAGTATATTACTGATGTTGTTAAGGTACACACAGTTTCTCTGCTCACTTTTTTCCCCAACATTATATTGTCGTGTTCCTGGCCTTCTTTGTGAACGTCTTGTTGCTCTCTCCTAGCTGAATGCCTTTGATAAACGACATCTTGAGGATATCGACTTTGATGTACGGCTGTCAGCATTCCAGTCAATCACAGCCCACATCAAGGAAATGCAAGCACTGGATATCGACTTCCTCATCCCCGTTATGCACAACTGCTTCTATACCATCCAGGTTGGCTGAATGTGCCTTCTCTTGCTCTGTGCACCACGTGTCCTTGATGAATCTGATTCCCCCGTTATTTCCATTGGCTGTTTTAACACTGCAAAACATTCGGAGAGCTTATTTGAGTCTTTTTACAAACACTTGTTTTTGAGTTTTGTCCCCTTGCCTTTTCATCTGTGTGTCCAGAAGATCGAATACAGTGCAGCAAGAAGGCTCACCCAAGCACAGTGCATCTTTCTGTCAGTGAGGTCTGGAACTTATCTCTCAGTTTGTACCGTATAAAAGGCAAATTACAGTCTTCAAAGGCTGCTTTTCTTTTTGTTGCATGCATCATGTTCTGGTTGTGTGGGCCCGCTGGTAAATCTAGAAGTATTTTTCCTGATTGGAAGGGTGGACCTTAATTCAGGACTAGAGCTTCTACAGAAAAGGTCTCAAGAGTTACTGGATCTTTAGGCCTTGTTGTGTTGTGTCCAGTGGTACTGTTCATTCCAGTCTTTTGGGGAGAAAAGCTGTCATACCCAGACTCATGTGGTTCCATTTCTTCATCCACTCAGCTAGGGGATATGGCTCTTAGTGACAACGCAAGCCTTTGCTTGAGCAGTTTGATCCAGCGACTGGCAGAAATCGAACACACAGAAGATGACTACAAGTTGCTAATCCAGCACACTCTCCTGGAGTCTGTGAGAAAGGGGCTGAAGAGTAAGACTGAGGTAAGGCAGTGCTGTCTCATTACACATCTGCAGTCATCTTCAGGATACCAGGGTATACGAGACATTTTAGGAAGATAGACTGAGAGAGTTGGGACTTTTCAGTCTGGAAAAACAGAAGGCTCCGAGGAGACCTTATTGTGGCCTTCCAGTATCTCAAGGGGACGTACAAGAAAGCTGGAGAGGGGCTTTTTAGAATGTTGGGTAGTGATAGGACTAGGGGGAATGGATTAAAGCTAGAGATGGATCAGCTCAGATGGGAAGAAGTTCTGCACCATGAGGATGGTGAGACACTGGCACAGGTTGCCCAGAGAGGTGGTGGAAGCCCCATCCCTGGAAGATTTTAAGGCCAGGCTGGATGGGTCTCTGAGCAGCCTGATCTAGTGGGGGATGTCAGATTGCTCAGATTGCTGAGGGAGCTAGCAGAAGTCATTGCTAGGCCACTCTCCATCATCTTTGATAAGTCATGGGGAACAGGAGAGGTGCCTGAAGACTGGAGGAAAGCAAATGTCACTCCAGTCTATAAGAAGGGCAGGAAGGATGACACGGGTAACTACAGACCGGTCAGCCTCACCTCCATCCCTAGAAAGATGGTGGAATATCTTATCCTTGGCATTGTATCTAAGCATATCAAGGATAAGAAGGTTATTA